TAGGTAGCCAAAAAAAGCTAGGTTAGGTTAGGTTAGGTAGGTTAGGTAGACGAAAAAACATTAATTCATGAAAACTTGGCTTATTAGGCAAATCGGGCCTTGAATAGTAGGCTGAGAAGTGCGTTCTGGCTATTAGGTACGACATATATATATATATATATATATATATATATATATATATATATATATATATATATATATATATATATATATATATATATATATATATGAGAAAGACTACTGAAGCAATGTGTAAAGCGTTTTTCATTCATAAGCCGAGGATTTGGCGGGTGAGTTAACGATCACTTGGTCTGTGTTGATGAGGACGCGTTGTACCGATCCTTCAGGTAATCTCAGTAGTGGCATAAGTACTGAGCCCTGCGGAACTCCGCTCGCCACCTTCCTCCACCCTGGGTCGCCCTCTCACTAATACCCTCTGTTTCCTGCTTGTTATATACTCTCTCTAGTACTCCTCAGTTGTCTGATGTCACTTGTTTACCATCCTGCTTCTCACACTTGGGAGTCAGTCTCTTGTTAGGAACAACGTCAAAGGCTCTTTGGTAGTCATGGAAGCAGCAGTCCATCCAACCATTTCTTACTCAGCCATGACGTTAATGTCGACCACATATCCCACAATTATCTCTCAGATTATCTCACAATTTATACAAGCGATAACTCTCAGTTGCACAGATGTACATTTCTAGGTCCCTTACATCTCTGCTCTTCTGAATATAAACAGATGTTACCGGTCTTTCCGGAAGCTGCACCATCCCGCACCTCAGTATTCTTATCTACTTCAACGACGTACAACGACCTCATCCCTGAAGAGTATACCTGTGCTGATGATCGAACTCAAAATCATCATCTTGAGGCGCTGAGCGGCTTACCTGCATTGCTGAGAGAATATTGATGCTTCCATATGGTGGCTCAAGACTGGTTTGGGGACTCAAACGACTGCTTCCCTCAGCTTCTAAATTTATGTTGAGAATTATGACGATTATCCGAGGCCTATTTCCTCGGCTACCATGTGTTTCTGGCTGGGTGTATGTTTTACCGTTGTACCCCGTTACCCTGGTGATGTCAGAGGTCAGGACGCTGTGAGTGGTGGTTGCAACATTATAGTTACAAGTAGAGAATCTCGCTCTCAAATCACGGACCGTTGAGGGGGGCGTCTGCCAAGCTCTTGGTCTCCAGCCCCGGGCGAGTATGGCAATCGAACTTTAACCTTTAGTGCCTGACCTCAACCAGAAGAGGAATCGAACACCCTTGGGTGTTGGCGCCCTCAACCAGGAGGGAGTCAGTCCCCCGGTGGCGTGCATGGGCAGACGCGGACAGAAGAAGGAAGCTGCGGGTTGGTCCACACTTCGCAATCAGCAAATAATAGGTTAGCTGGAGCCCAGTACGAGACTCGCACGCAACTGATGAGTTTAGTGGATGGGGAACCTGGTCATAAATCACGCAGCCACATTACCAGCAGTCACGGGAGGCACCTTGAGCGGCAGACACGCAGCCTCAGCGGCAGACAATGTAATGACTTTGAGTCTTTTCCTCCAGTTACTCCTTAAAGTCAGACAAAAATCCTTCCTTATCCTTGTAACTTGTGAGTCTATGCCAAGCAGGGTTCCTTATCCTTGTTGCTTGTGAGTCTATGCCAAGCAGGGTTCCTTATCCTTGTTGCTTGTGAGTCTATGCCAAGCAGGGTTCCTTATCCTTGTTGCTTGTGAGTCTATAACAAGCAGGGTTCCTTATCCTTGTTGCTAGTGAGTCTATGACAAGCAGGGTTCCTTATCCTTGTTGCTTGTGAGTCTATGCCAAGCAGGGTTCCTTATCCTTGGTGCTAGTGAGTCTATGACAAGCAGGGTTCCTTATCCTTGGTGCTAGTGAGTCTATGACAAGCAGGGTTCCTTATCCTTGTTGCTTGTGAGTCTATGCCAAGCAGGGTTCCTTATCCTTGTTGCTTGTGAGTCTATGCCAAGCAGGGTTCCTTATCCTTGTTGCTTGTGAGTCTATGCCAAGCAGGGTTCCTTATCCTTGTTACTTGTGGGTCTATGCCAAGCAGGGTTCCTTATCCTTGTTGCTTGTGAGTCTATGACAAGCAGGGTTCCTTATCCATGTTGCTTGTGAGTCTATGACAAGCAGGGTTCCTTATCCTTGTTGCTTGTGAGTCTATGCCAAGCAGGGTTCCTTATCCTTGTTGCTTGTGAGTCTATGCCAAGCAGGGTTCCTTATCCTTGTTGCTTGTGAGTCTATGCCAAGCAGGGTTCCTTATCCTTGTTGCTTGTGAGTCTATGACAAGCAGGGTTCCTTATCCTTGTTGCTTGTGAGTCTATGCCAAGCAGGGTTCCTTATCCTTGTTGCTTGTGAGTCTATGCCAAGCAGGGTTCCTTATCCTTGTTACTTGTGGGTCTATGCCAAGCAGGGTTCCTTATCCTTGTTGCTTGTGAGTCTATGACAAGCAGGGTTCCTTATCCTTGTTGCTTGTGAGTCTATGACAAGCAGGGTTCCTTATACTTGTTGCTTGTGAAGCCCTACAACAAGCAGTGTATCAAATCACTGCTTACTAAATAGTTGATATAAATGCCGTTTCAGACTTAAGCTAGTCCTTAGAGCTTCATTCAGACTTAAGGTACGTAGAATTTAAAGTTTTTTTTCAGACTTAAGGCTGTTCTTAGATCCTAATTCAGATTTAAGTCAGTACTTAGATCCTAATTCAGTTTAAAGTCAGTAATTAGATCCTAATTCAGATTAAAGTCAGTAATTAGATCCTAATTCAGATTAAAGTCAGTAATTAGATCCTAATTCAGATTTAAGTCAGTAATTAGATCCTAATTCAGATTTAAAGCATTTGAAATCATTTTATTCAGACGCTCCACGGAGATCACGGAGACCCGTGGAGCGGGCCACGGAGACCCGTGGAGCGGGTCACGGAGACCCGTGGAGCGGGCCACGGAGACCCGTGGAGCGGGCCACGGAGACCCGTGGAGCGGGCCACGGAGACCCGTGGAGCGGGCCACGGAGACCCGTGGAGCGGGCCACGGAGACCCGTGGAGCGGGCCACGGACCCGGGAGCGGGCCTTGGAGACCCGTGGAGCGGGCCACGGAGACCCGTGGAGCGGGCCTCAGCGGGCCACGGAGACCCGTGGAGCGGGCCACGGAGACCCGTGGAGCGGAGACCCGTGGAGCGGGCCACGGAGACCCGTGGAGCGGGTCACGGAAACTTTAACCTCTCCAGGAAGCACCAATAAAAATTGCCTTGACCAGAAAGCCATAAAGAGGCATCCGGTTAAGTAATGCCTTCCAGCAGGCGAAGTCCGGCTCCGGACTGTGGTGACGTCACGTCCCCGACCCCGGACTGTGGTGACGTCATGTCCCCGACCCCCGGACTGTGGTGACGTCACGTCCCCGACCCCTGGACTGTGGTGACGTCACGTCCCCGACCCCCGGACTGTGGTGACGTCACGTCCCCGACCCCCGGACTGTGGTGACGTCATGTCCCCGACCCGCGGACTGTGGTGACGTCATGTCCCCGACCCGCGAACTGTGGTGACGTCATGTCCCCGACCCGCGAACTGTGGTGACGTCATGTCCCCGACCCCCGGACTGTGGTGACATCACGTCCCCGATCCCCGGACTGTGGTGACGTCATGTCCCCGACCCGGAACTGTGATGACGTCACGTCCCCGACCCCCGGACTGTGGTGACGTCACGTCCCCGACCCCCGGACTGTGGTGACGTCACGTCCCCGACCCCCGGACTGTGGTGACGTCACGTCCCCGACCCCCGGACTGTGGTGACGTCACGTCCCCGGACCCCGGACTGTGATGACGTCACGTCCCCGACCCCCGGACTGTGGTGACGTCACGTTCTCTGACCCCGGACTGTGATGACGTCACGTCCCCGACCCCCGGACTGTGGTGACGTCACGTCCCCGACCCCTGGACTGTGGTGACGTCACGTCCCCGACCCCCGGACTGTGGTGACGTCACGTCCCCGACCCCCGGACTGTGGTGACGTCACGTCCCCGACCCCCGGACTGTGGTGACGTCATATTCCCCGACCCCCGGACTGTGGTGACGTCACGTCCCCGACCCCCGGACTGTGGTGACGTCACGTCCCCGACCCCCGGACTGTGGTGACGTCACGTTCTCTGACCCCGGACTGTGATGACGTCACGTCCCCGACCCCCGGACTGTGGTGACGTCACGTTCTCTGACCCCCGGACTGTGGTGACGTCACGTCCCCGACCCCCGGACTGTGGTGACGTCACGTCCCCGACCCCCGGACTGTGGTGACGTCACGTTCCCTGACCCCCGGACTGTGGTGACCTCACTTCCCCGACCCCCTGACTGTGGTGACGTCACGTCCCCGACCCCCGGACTGTGGTGACGTCGCTTCCCCCCGGACTGTGGTGACCTGACCCCCGGACTGTGGTGACCTCACTTCCCCGACCACCGGACTGTGGTGACGTCACCCCCGTCCCACTTCCCCGACCCCCGGACTGTGGTGACGTCACGTCCCCGACCCCCGGACTGTGGTGACGTCACTTCCCCGACCCCCGGACTGTGGTGACCTCACTTCCCCGACCCCCGGACTGTGGTGACGTCACGTCCCCGACCCCCGGACTGTGGTGACGTCATGTCCCCGACCTCCGGACTGTGGTGACGGCACGTTCTCTGACCCCCGGACTGGGATGACGTCACGTTCTCTGACCCCCGGACTGGGATGACGTCACGTCCCCGACCCCCGGACTGGGATGACGTCACGTCCCCGACCCCCGGACTGGGATGACGTCACGTCCCCGACCCCCGGACTGGGGTGACGTTACGTTCTCTGACCCCGGACTGTGGTGACCTCACTTCCCCGACCACCGGACTGTGGTGACGTCACGTCCCCGACCCCCGGACTGTGGTGACGTCACATTCTCTGACCCCGGACTGTGGTGACGTCACGAGAGCGAGTCAGGATCTGACGAAGACTTCCGCATTCATGACTGGTGAAGGATGGCGGGACCTCTTAAGCATGACACATTCCCACAGTTTTTTCGTTGTGTCCACGACCTGGGGCATGACTTGGGGCATGACTTGGGGCATGACTTGTGGCATGACTTGTGGCATGACTTGGGGCATGACTTGGGGCATGACTTGTGGCATGACTTGTGGCATGACTTGTGGCATGACTTGGGGCATGACTTGGGGCATGACTTGTGGCATGACTTGTGGCATGACTTGGGGCATGACTTGGGGCATGACTTGGGGCATGACTTGGGGCATGACTTGGGGCATGACTTGGGGCATGACTTGGGGCATGACTTGGGGCATGACTTGTGGCATGACTTGGGGCATGACTTGTGGCATGACTTGTGGCATGACTTGTGGCATGACTTGGGGCATGACTTGTGGCATGACTTGGGGCATGACTTGTGGCATGACTTGTGGCATGACTTGGGGCATGACTTGGGGCATGACTTGTGGCATGACTTGTGGCATGACTTGTGGCATGACTTGGGGCATGACTTGGGGCATGACTTGGGGCATGACTTGGGGCATGACTTGGGGCATGACTTGGGGCATGACTTGGGGCATGACTTGGGGCATGACTTGGGGCATGACTTGGGGCATGACTTGGGGCATGACTTGGGGCATGACTTGGGGCATGACTTGGGGCATGGGGGCATGACTTGGGGCATGACTTGGGGCATGACTTGGGGCATGACTTGGGGCATGACTTGGGGCATGACTTGTGGCATGACTTGGGGCATGACTTGGGGCATGACTTGGGGCATGACTTGGGGCATGACTTGGGGCATGACTTGGGGCATGACTTGGGGCATGATGGTGACTCACAGTAATTTGGGGCATGATGGTGACTCACAGTAACTTGGGGCATCGGTGCAACTCACAGTAACTTGGGGCATGAGGGTGACTCACAGTAACTTGGGGCATGATGGTGACTCACAGTAACTTGGGGCATGATGGTGACTCACAGTAACTTGGGGCATCAGTGTGACTCACAGTAACTTGGGGCATCAGGGTGACTCACAGTAACTTGGGGCATGAGGGTGACACACAGTAACTTGGGGCATCAGTGTGACTTACAGTAACTTGAGGCATCGGTGCAACTCACAGTAACTTGGGGCATAAGGGTGACTCACAGTAACTTGGATCATCAGTGTGACTCACAGAAACTTGGGGCATCAGTGTGACTCACAGTAACTTGGGGCATCAGTGTGACTCACAGTAACTTGGGGCATCAGTGTGACTCACAGTAACTTGGGGCATCAATGTGACTCACAGTAACTTGGGGCATAAGGGTGACTCACAGTAACTTGGGGCATCAGTGTGACTCACAGTAACTTGGGGCATCAATGTGACTCACAGTAACTTGGGGCATCAGTGTGACTCACAGTAACTTGGGGCACCAGTGTGTCTCACAGTAACTTGGGCATCACTCAGTAACTTGTGTCTCACAGTAACTTGGGGCATCAGTGTGACTCACAGTAACTTGGGGCATCAGTGTGACTCACAGTAACTTGGGGCATCAATGAGACTCACAGTAACTTGGGGCATCAGTGTGACTCACAGTAACTTGGGGCATCAGTGTGACTCACAGTAACTTGGGGCATCAGTGTAACTCACAGTAACTTGGGCATCAGTATGATTCACAGTAACTTGGGGCATCAGTGTGATTCACAGTAACTTGGGGCATCAGTGTGATTCACAGTAACTTGGGGCATCAATGTGACTCACAGTAACTTGGGGCATCAGTGTGACTCACAGTAACTTGGGGCATCAAAGTGACTCACAATAACTTGGGGCATCAGGGTGACTCACAGTAACTTGGGGCATCAGGGTGACTCACAGTAACTTGGGGCATCAGTGTGACTCACAGTAACTTGGGGCATCAGTGTGACTCATAGTAACTTGAGGCATCAGTGTAACTCACAGTAACTTGGGCATCAGTATGATTCACAGTAACTTGGGGCATCAGTATGACTCACAGTAACTTGGAGCATCAGTGTGTCTCACAGTAACTTGGAGCATCAGTGTGTCTCACAGTAACTTGGGGCATCAGTATGACTCACAGTAACTTGGAGCATCAGTGTGACTCACAGTAACTTGGAGCATCAGTGTGTCTCACAGTAACTTGGGGCATCAGTATGACTCACAGTAACTTGGAGCATCAGTGTGTCTCACAGTAACTTGGGGCATCAGTGTGACTCACTGTAACTTGAGGCATCAGTGTGAGACGGTGAGCACTCTACCCTCGCTCAGTTTTAATGAGAAAAAAAAAACCCCGTCAATCGTGACAATGGTCAAGGTTTTTTGCAACCAAAAAATTTCTACCAAAGTACCAATTTTGCAACTGCACTCCTCTCTCACGTGCTCCTCCGCGTGAAGTCAATGATTAGCGAATTGTGAGGCTGTAATTGACGTGAACCTTGGCTAAAAAATTGGCAGTTTTGAGTGGAGAATTGTTACTCTCGTCAGGGTCAACCCCGAGAGGGGAGAACAGGCTCGTGGCTAATAGATACATATATAACATTTACCTAGAATGCTCATTTACCTCGGGGAAAAGGGAGGGGGGGGGGAATCCGGGGTATTGCTGGTATCCGCGTAAAGCTGGTTGGGCACTGTTTTGCTAACAACCACCACCACCGACCCGCAACCCACACCTCCTTAATATATTTCTCTAAAGCGCCTGAATTTATTACGAGGAAAAACTTTTCTATCTTTTTTTTTCGAGAGAATTTGGTGACCAGAGAAAAATTGTATTCACTTGTCTGAATAAAAAACAAAATAATAAAAGATGCAAATACTCCAATGACGTTAAATAAAGCCCCGAAACAGCCGCGGAAAATAGATTACTCACACGCAAATGATCCTAAATAGATTTCACCAATATACTAAACGTCGAAGGGAAAATATAAAGAAAACGGAAGAGCTGAAGTTACGAGATGGGTCTGAAGGCGTCATGTCGTCGTTCATCTCAACACCAGAGAGCTCCGTGTGGCGCCTTGTTCTCCTGCGTCAGTTACAGCGACGACCAGGGGGTATAGTGACCACGGCGACGACCAGGGGGTATAGTGACCACGGCGACGACCAGGGGGTATAGTGACCACGGCGACGACCAGGGGGGGTATAGTGACCACGGCGACGACCAGGGGGGGGGCGACGACCAGGGGGTATAGTGACCACGGCGACGACCAGGGGGTATAGTGACCACGGCGACGACCAGGGGGTATAGTGACCACGGTGACGACCAGGGGGTATAGTGACCACGGCGACGACCAGGGGGGGGGGGGCGACGACCAGGGGGGTAGTGACCACGGCGACGACCAGGGGGGGGGTATAGTGACCACGGCGACGACCAGGGGGGGTATAGTGACCACGGTGACAACCAGGGGGTATAGTGACCACGGTGACGACCAGGGGGGGTATAGTGACCACGGTGACGACCAGGGGGTATAGTGACCACGGCGACGACCAGGGGGGTATAATGACCACGGCGACGACCAGGGGGGGTATAGTGACCACGGCGACGACCAGGGGGTATAATGACCACGGCGACGACCAGGGGGTGTAATGACCACGGCGACGACCAGGGGATGTAATGACCACGGCGACGACCAGGGGGTGTAATGACCACGGCGACGACCGGGGGGTGTAATGACCACGGCGACGACCAGGGGGGTGTATAGTGACCACGGCGACGACCAGGGGGGGGGGTATAGTGACCACGGCGACGACCAGGGGGGTATAATGACCACGGTGACGACCAGGGGGTATAGTGACCACGGCGACGACCAGGGGGGTATAATGACCACGGTGACGACCAGGGGGTATAGTGACCACGGCGACGACCAGGGGGGTATAATGACCACGGCGACGACCAGGGGGGGGGCGTATAGTGACCACGGCGACGACCAGGGGGTATAATGACCACGGCGACGACCAGGGGGTGTAATGACCACGGCGACGACCAGGGGGTGTAATGACCACGGCGACGACCAGGGGGTGTAATGACCACGGCGACGACCAGGGGGTGTAATGACCACGGCGACGACCAGGGGGTGTAATGACCACGGCGACGACCAGGGGGTGTAATGACCACGGCGCCGACCAGGGGGTATAATGACCACGGCGACGACCTGGGGCTGTAATGACAACGGCGACGACCAGGGGGTATAATGACCACGGCGACGACCAGGGGGGATATAGTGACCACGGCGACGACCAGGGGGATATAATGACCACGGCGACGACCAGGGGGTGTAATGACCACGGCGACGACCAGGGGGGGTATATAATAACCACGGCGACGACCAGGGGGGTATAATGACCACGGCGACGACCAGGGGGGATATAATGACCACGGCGACGACCAGAGGGGATATAATGACCACGGCGACGACCAGGGGGGTATAATGACCACGGCGACGACCAGAGGGGATATAATGACCACGGCGACGACCAGGGGGGGTATAATGACCACGGCGACGACCAGGGGGTATAATGACCACGGCGACGACCATGGGGGTAAAATGACCTCGGCGACGACCAGGAGGGATATAATGACCACGGCTACGAACAGGGGGATATAATGACCACGGCGACGACCAGGGGGTATAATGACCACGGCGACGACCAGGGGGGGATATAATGACCACGGCGACGACCAGGGGGATATAATGACCACGGCGACGACCAGGGGGGATATAATGACCACGGCGAAGACCAGGGGGGATATATTGACCACGGCGACGACCAGGGGGTATAATGACCACGGGGACGACCAGGGGGTATAATGACCACGGGGACGACCAGGGGGGGATATAATGACTACGGGGACGACCAGGGGGTATAATGACCACGGGGACGACCAAGGGGTATAATGACCACGGTGACGACCAGGGGGGTATAATGACCACGGGGACAACCAGGGGGGGGATATATTGACCACGGCGACGACCAGGGGGATATAATAACCACGGGGACGACCAAGGGGGATATAATGACCACGGGGACGACCAGGGGGTATAATGACCACGGGAACGACCAGGGGGTCATCCCCGTGGTCATTATATCCCCCCTGGTCGTCGCCGTGGTCATTATATCCCCCCTGGTCGTCGCCGTGGTCATTATACCCCCCTGGTCGTCGCCGTGGTTATTATATCCCCCTGGTCGTCGCCGTGGTCATTATAACCCCCCTGGTCGTCGCCGTGGTCATTATATCCCCCTGGTCGTCGCCGCGGTCATTATACCCCCCTGGTCGTCACCGTGGTCATTATACCCCCCCTGGTTGTCGCCGTGGTCATTATACCCCGCTGGTCGTCCCCGTGGTCATTATACCCCCTGGTCGTCCCCGTGGTCATTATATCCCTCTTGGTCGTCCCCGTGGTCATTATATCCCCCCCTAGTCGTCGCCGTGGTCATTATACCCCCCCCTGGTCGTCGCTGTGGTCAATATATCCCCCCCCTGGTCGTCGCCGTGGTCATTGTATCCCCCCTGGTCGTCGCCGTGGTCATTATATCCCCCCTGGTCGTCGCCGTGGTCATTATATCCCCCCTGGTCGTCGCCGTGGTCATTATATCCCCCCTGGTCGTCGCCGTGGTCATTATATCCCCCCTGGTCGTCGCCGTGGTCATTATACCCCCCTGGTCGTCGCCCTAGTCATTATATCCCCCCTGGTCGTCGCCGTGGTCATTATATCCCCGCTGGTCGTCGCCATGGTCATTATACCCCCATGGTCGTCGCCGTGGTCATTGTACCCCCCTGGTCGTCGCCGTGGTCATTATACCCCCTGGTCGTCGCCGTGGTCATTGTACCCCCCTGGTCGTCGCCGTGGTCATTATACCCCCCTGGTCGTCGCCGTGGT